CAAAAGTGGGAGTCACAACTCACCATGAGAGAAACAGATCAACTTTTGGCAGGAGTTTTATGTCCAACATAGTGGTAGGCTTGGTGTCAGAAACAGAGTCCCTTAATTTGTACTAATTATGATTGTGGACATGTTGCCATGTTGGGTATGATGATAGATTGCAGCAGTGGTGACTGTCTGGGTGGTACAGGCTGCATCACAATGGCTGAAATTAAGAAGATTGATAATACCAAGTGTTGGTGAACATGGACAGCAAACATGTCAATCCTGCCGTGAGTTTGACATGCTGGAAGAGCTGTCATACACTGTTGGTAGGAATGTGTAATGGTATAACGACTTTGGAAAACTGGGAATTTCTAATGAATTTCAGTACATACGATGTTAGGACTTAGCATTTGCACTCTTAGGTATAGATCCTTGAGAAAGGAATGCATAGTAGCTTTATTGGTAATAAAAATTGTAAAAAAAAACCCAAAACCCTACAAGTTATTCATAAGAGCAGAATAGGAAACAGTGGTGGATGTTCACTCAGTGGAATTCTGAATAACATAATGGAAAACATTTTTCTGGTACTTGAAAGAATGTGCAGGAATCACCAAAGCAACATGTTGAGTGAAAGAAACTTGACATAGAAGAATAATTGCAATCTAATTTAGAAGTGAGAATGGTGACTCTGGGAGATGGAGGAGACACTGCTGGCTAAAAAGGGCATGAGAGAATATTCTGGAATAATGGAAATTTCTGTATTCTGATCTGAGTGTTAGTCACATGGTTATGCACATATGTAAAAAAATGTCACTGATTTACATATTTAAGATTTTTATGTCTTTATTATCTCAATAAACTATTCTTACCAAGAAAAAAAGTATTTAGCTATGTTAATTGCGGATCAATATACAGAAATTAGATTTCTACATATAAGAATGAATGAGAAGGTGAAATTTTTAAAAGCTATCATCTATAACACAAGACTATTAAAGACTAGGAATAAGTTTAATAAAAATGTGCAAGAATTACCAAGAAGAATATTATATTACAGGCCCAGTGCACAAATTCGTGCACGGGTGGGGTCTGGCCTGCCTGCCCCAATGGGAGCCAGTTGGGGCTGAGCTGGTGTGGGAGAGTGGCCATAGGTGATTGGCCAACAGGGCTGGCCGGGGAGAGGGGCCATGGGAGATTGTGGGGGCCAGTTGGCCACTACAGTGCACATTATAGTGACTGGTTGTTCTGTCATTCCGTCCTTCCGGTCACTTGGCTTTTATATATAGAGATGTCATTGAGACAAATTAATGAGTAATATCTCCTTAAGTTGACTTAGGTTTAGTGTGATCCCAATAAAAATACCAATGATTTTTTTTTTTAAGGAAATGAACATGATGATTCTCCCTCCCTCTTCTCTCCTCCCTTCCTCCCCCCGCCTTTTTTTTAGTGTATAGCTTAAATGAAATGCCTATTTTCTCAAAGTGGACTTAGATGATCTAAATGTGTTGTTTTCAACATTACTGCTATAATGCAATTGAAATAACAATATGAAAAAAAAGAAAACAAGCAAAAATAATGACCCACAATCAGTACCACGAATTTTTAATGGGAAGATGAGCATTTACCATACGTAGATGCTTTAAACATTCATTGTGATGTGTGGAAGAGAAGACACGGCATCTTTTTATCTGTTTGTATTACTGGTTGCTATGGTCATGACCAGCGTTGGGAAGATAAGAAAGCCTGTGAAGTGCAGTGGGGATTGGGTTTTGATTTTTGGCTCTAGGGGTTGCCTTTTGTCACGTTACATTTTGGTCTAGCTATTTCTGAGCTATTTGAAATTTGCAAATTTGTTTTGTTATTGTGTTTTGTCTACCCTCTCTCTCCCTTCTGTCTCTACTGAAAACCATAATACTTGGAATGCAGCTGTTGCATACTTTAAACTTTAAAGCCTGTATAGTACTACTGGCTTTACTTTGTGAGTCTAGGAGTTTGGTTTTTTTCTTTTGTTTTGTTTTTACTTTTTTAAAAAATATATTTTATTGATTTTTTACAGAGACGAAGCGAGAGAGATAGAAAGTTAGAAACATTGATGAGAGAGAAACATCGATCAGCTGCCTCTTGCACACCCCCTACTGGGGATGTGCCCGCAACCAGAATGGAACCCGGGACCCTTCAGTCCGCAGACCGATGCTCCATCCACTGAGCCAAACCGGTTAGGGCAGAATTTGGTTTTTTAGAAAGTTTATGTTTGATATGCCAGTACTGGATTAGAGAAAGGAATACAGGTTTGGGAATAGAGTAATCTTTAGGCTACAGGTTGGGCTTTTGCTTTGTTTTTATATCTTAGGCAACTTTGAGAAGCAATGGGCATGTATCTCTTGAGCCCAAATCAGTTATTACAGTTTGTATCTAATTTTATTCTGTAATGAAAGATATATAGGAATGCTGGGGAGATGGTATCTTTCCCTTCCAACTTTCTCTGTGGAGGAATAATACAAATAGCACAGGCAAGCTGCTTTTGCCTAGAAAGTACATTTGAGGCAGTACATTCTCCAAAGTCCTGTCAGGGGAGAGAGTAGGCAAAGGAACTAAAAAGCTTTAATTATCTAGTTACATTAAGGAAGTATTTACATTACACTATTTGTATGAACACATACAAATGAAGAGGTGTATTTTTTTGGTGGAAGATGGGCAGCAGAGGAGGGTGAGGGAATTGCTATATGGAAACATTGAAAAACAAAGACCTCCCTGGGTTTTAATAATCTTAACCAGATGTGGAATAAGAAGAATAGCATTATCTCAGTGCAGTCTAGATGTAAATTCGGGTTGGGTTGTTGACACTTAATGGGGAACATGAAACCTAATTTTACTCAGTCTGGTCTTGAGGCTGAATCTCATTTTTTTTTTTATTTTGTGACATATATGGATTTTAATTTTTTGTAGATGAGGTGTATTTTTTAGATATTAGATATTCTCAAGTTTCCCATAAGTAATGTCTGTGTAACTCATTGCCTAGTCATTATGATAAATGTGATCTGACCTGTTGGCATTATCAAGAAGGGATCGTTTCTTACTAGTATTTTATTGTAATTAGTCGTTAAAAATGTATAATGGTAGAGGCTCACCCATTAGATTTAGGATTGAGTGTAATTCTCCTAGACTTTTTACTAGCTTATGCTTTAAAGATAAACTCTAGGATCCTCTCTTTAAGTGGTTATTATACATATCAACAAGGACATGTACAGTTGCTAGGTGCCTCTCCAATAGCTTATATGTGACCACTGGTGCTAATTTCTTCTTTCCTGTGTGGGGTATTGCTGTGAGTTTTCCCAGAACTCATTGCATCTTTTATTAGTTCATTCATCTCTAATTACCAAGATAGAAATAAGTTTTCTTCATTTATACTTCTAAATATACATATGGATTACAAAGAGAAAATATTTTCAAAAGAAATCACTCCCGTTTATAAGTCAGTAAAAATTCAATATATCTTCTTATGTGCAGCAGTCTTTTGTGTCATATTTATGTTTTGTATGTTATGCATTAACTTTTCTCTGTTGAGTATAAATTAGTTACCTTGTACAAATGCAGTTTGTTCCAGTTGATTGTTGTTATTGTGCTACATTGTGCCGACCTGTCCAACTTGAACAGTAGGAAGTCTCAATTGGCTCTTTGACTTTTTATCTCTCCTTGGAAGGTATGCTGAAATACCTTCCAAGGAGTTAATGGTACCTTTTATTGGTAGTTTGAGAAAAAGCCTCTAGTAGCCGAGGTTGCAATCAAAAGGTGATTATTAAGCAAAGTGTGCTGCAAATGTTTGATCACTTGTAATAGTGACAGAGATGTGAACTGTTTATTTTTAAAGATGTGAGTTTATGTTGCTCTTCATATTTTAAAACATGTTGTTACCTGGTTTTTAAAACCTATTCCCAAATAAAAATTTTATTCTATATTCACATAAGTTATTTTAAGTAATAACTTGGAATCGTACTACATTGTATCTAATATCATGTTGTTAATAATGCTGTTGGAGTAATCATTTCTTTTCCCACCACAATTAAGGAATATAACTATATTATTTTGAAATTAATCTGATAGAGTAAAATCATTAGGATAAAGATGGTGAACTCAAAAAGTTAGAAAAGCTCATTCTTGCTGAGGTTTTTGTAATGAGCAAAATAGGATAAGAGAACTGAATATTTATGCTTATTTGGAATAGTAATGCATGTCTTGAGCAGGCATTATGCTTGTTAGTTTATATGTGGGAACTAGGGTTTCCCAGCATGTTGTTGCAAGAGCAAAGTAGCATTGCTCTTGCCATGTTTAGGTATGTTTAAGATATTCTGTAGGTGAGCTTATTTTGAAGAAGTTCATATTTTATTATTCTGATACGTAGATACTTATTTCACTGGAATTTTCCATAGGCAAACTTCTGGGTGAAGAAGTGAATACATAAGTATTATTTTCCTTTATTTGGCAGTAATAGAGTCAGATCTCTAGAACTGAAAGGAACCCTAGCACTTACCTTAACATTTTTTAATAGAAAAGCAAATTAACGGTCAGAGGTGAAAAGTGCATTTATAGTTTTTACTGTTTTCCTGATGATTCAAAGTAATTGTTATAAAAACTAGTCATTTTGTTACATTGTAAATATGTACTTTAATGCAGTGATTTCTCAAAACTTATCTGAGTCCTTTCTATAGTTCTGCCACTAAGCCTTTAATTTGTTGAAACATAATTTAACATATTTTCTATTAAAAACATTTTATTTGAAATTTCCTGTTTCTTAGAAAAAAAGGCTGCATGTCTTCTTTACCACTGCTATGTTTTGAAAGAACACTAACCTCTGCTTGATTAAAGATAGCCCTAAGTAGTACTTCCCCAAATACATTATCTAGAGATTAAGTAATTAAAATCTTTAATTAATGCTATTTCCTAGAGTACAGCACTGAATTATAACTGTTTTTTTGTGTTTGTGTGTGTGTGTTTTTTACTATTTTCTCCCATTCCATAAGAGTTCTTGAAGCCAGCATAGCAGAAAACAAAGCATGTTTAAAGAGGACACCTACAGAAGTGTGGAGGGATTCTCGAAACCCTTATGATAGAAAAAGGCAGGACAGAGCTCCTGTTGGATTAAAGAATGTTGGCAACACTTGCTGGTTTAGTGCTGTTATTCAGGTAAGGATATTATGCAGATCTTATTTGCTCGGCATGATAGCAGTGGAGAGTGGGTTGGACTTGGGTTTCTTTTAAGTTGTGTACTTGAAACAGAACTTCAGGCAAGGTTTTAATGTGATTTTCTGTCTAATGAACTATTGTGGAGATTGCAACATTCCTCAACCTTCTCTGTTCCTCAGTCCCAGGATGGAGTTTTAATGAGAGAGCATTACCTATGCCTTCTTTGGGATTATTTTGAATTAATTTATTATTTGAAACTAATTTCTTCTCCTCCCTGCTGTTAGGAATTATTGTCAGAGTGGAAAGAAAATATTTCTGAATGTATTTCCCTGCAATTTTAGGAAAGATGTAACCAAGATATGAAACCAGAACTAGTTTTTATTTGTGTATGTCCATTAGATCAGATTTACTTGTATATACTAGAAAATGTTTTTCATAGAATCATAGTCTTTTAGACACTATTTTAATGAAATAGGGCATTTTATTTATTTGAGGAGGGTATAGATTTTAAAACATTTTTTTTCTAACTTGGAAAGTCCTTAGTGAAATATTTCCTGAGCCCCTTATTCTAAAATGAAAAATGTTTGTACGCGTAGATATCCATCCTCTTCTTAATCTTGAATAGTTTGCTTTAATTTTTATATCATATGACTATTGTCAATTCTTTACCATTCTCAGACATTGATAACATTATCTCTCAGATTTCAAAACCTTGAAGAATCTCCATAAATGAAATAATCTATGAATAATAACATTTTCTTAATTTTTATTACCCTTTAAGAAAATTCATTAATATTTTGTGTTTATTTTCCTAATACAGTTGAATTGTAGCTTATTTATTTCATGTTCCTGATGTTTCATGTTAAAGCAAGTAACTAGTTTTAACATTTACTCTAGGATTTTAATTGTGTTTTCTAGGCAATTAATATGTACTTTTAACTTTTTTCTACTTCAGTGGTGTAATTTTTTACTCCCCCAAACCCCCATCTTTTGCTTCTGGCACATAATGCGATACAACTTGATTTCCTTTAGTTTTCTGTATTTATGTCTCATTCTTTATAATATACTATGGTGTATGTTCATTAGTAACTAATATGCTACTTTGTTTTCCAGGCCATTAAAATGTTAAGGAATACCTGGAGTAACAGTAATACCCTTGTTCCTAGCCTTGATTATGCATTATATACTCATATGCCAACAGTATCTACAATTTTATTTGCTATTTTATAGTGTCTTAGAACAGATTATCTTGCTTTACTTTACTAGCACTGTTGGTAAGGCTTTTACCTTTCACTGTCTTAATTTAAATAATTTGGACATTTTAAAATATGGAGCATAGTTTTAAGGCTGTGCTCTGAGTGTTCATGAATATGCTTTGCTGCCATAATTTAGACAAGTGAATGCGATTTCTGCACTATTATGGCCAATAAATGAGGTGCATTGATTAGAAGCTTCTTTTAAAAAACTGGAAGAAGAAAGAAAAAACTTTCAAATACTCAATATTTATTATTTAGAATAGGCGCTCTTTATTTCTCCACACTATACTGTAAGAAAATCCCACTGAAATGATAATTAATTTAATATTAATAGATTTGAGGATAACCACTCTTTGTTTTCATAGGATAAACTTCTCTCAGTATCTTAGTTCAAATGTGGAAGAATTGTTCTTCTCTTTCTACTTTAAGTGGTGTTTGCTGACCTTAGCTTTTGCTTTACATCTCAAATTTTTGGAGTTTCTTTAGTTGGGATGAGGAAAGGACTAAAAAAATTATTTGTCCTTTTTAACAAAGTTGAAGTAATTTTACTAATTTTAAATTTTTCTGCTGCCTAACTGGTAACATGACTTTACCACACTCCTAACATAGGCAAGTATAGGACACTTGGGATTATTATTTATTATTATTATTATTATTATTGTTTTGGAGAAATTGAGACACCTAGAAGTAACAGCTAACCTTGAAAAAGTTGAGTTATAAAGAAGTATTAAGATACTGATTTTGGGCAGTATAGTAAAACATTAAGCTTTAGTTTTGGGAAATTATGGATGAAAAGAGAACTTTGTCTAAAGATTATTTCAAGTTTTGTTTTTTACTGTTATTTTAAAGTCTATCCTGTTCTGAGTAGCTTTTCATTTCACCGTACTCATATATCATGTAGTTCCTGGTTGACTAAAATGCAAACATCCTAAGGGCAGAGAGCACATCTTCTAGATTATTCTGTATAGTCTGACGCCTTGAAGGAGCTCCTTATGTAATCATTGAATGAGTGGATAAAGGAACCAAAAAGGAGCAAATATAAATTATGGAGGAATTGAAGACTTATGAAGCTTCTATCACCCTAATGATGTATGGGATTGAAAAGATGCTACAGGTTTTCAAAAAAAAAAATTCAGTATATAATTTAACATGTTTATTCACATCACTTGTTCATGTCTCTTTAATTTTCCTCAAAGAATCCAAATATGTAGTTCAATGAGAAAACCAAGAATGTCATAGCAGTAATCTGCCCTAAACTTCCCTGATAATAGTGCTGTGGCAACTACAACCAGTTCTAGCTTTTTCTCCTATTATCTTCATTTTTATAAATGACATGCCATTCTTTAGAGTCTGCATTCCCATGGCTTTGTGAATGCTGCAGTGATTCTCTAGGACTTGCCTCTCTGTAACCCTTGTTTTCCTGGACCTGCCACTTGTTTTTCTGCCTATTTTCTATATACCTATTCTCCATAGTTTCCAGATGCTCCAACATCTCTGTTATCGTCTTATCAGTAATATGTTCTATATGCTCAAACATATTACCTCAATTTTTAAATTAAATCTTTATTGTTCAGATTATTACATTTGTTCCTCTTTTTTCCCTCATAACTCCCCTCCTCCCAGTTCCCACCCCACTCTCTGCCCTCACTCCCCACCCACTGTCCTCATCCATAGGTGCACGATGTTTGTCCAGTCTTTCCCCCCATCCTCCACACCTCTTTCCCCCTCAAGAATAGTCAGTCCATTCCCCTTCTATGTCCCTGATTCTATTATAATCACCAGTTTATTCTGTTCATCAGATTATTTATTCACTTGATTCTTAGATTCACTTGTTGATAGATGTGTATTTGTTGTTCTTAATTTGTTTCTTTACCTTTTTCTTCTTCTTCCTCTTCTTAAAAGATCCCT